TGTGTGTCATAGAGAGGAGGAGGGTCTGATGCAATCTGTGAATGAGAGTAAGCCGTTTGCATTGTAAATCATGTAAAAAAGCGACCAGTAGGTGGCAGTGGTGCCTCACGTGATTGAAATGCATGTTTTTACAAAAAGCTCTTTTTCTCAGTTTTTTGCCCAAGAATCGCCATTTCCATGAAACTTTGCCATTTTGTAATGACGATTGCTGAAGAATGGAAAAGACAGAAACAATTTTTTTTTCTGCTGAGGAAGAGAGTCCAAACTTTATTTTGGTAGGCTCCATGTTTATATCGCATAAAACCAAATATTCTGTGGGCCTTGCAAGATCAGTCAAAATCCAGTAAAACGCTGGGATTGAGGGGGTTGCTCCAGTGAAAATGGCTGGGATTGAATGAGTTAAGTTTGCCATACGTAACGCGCCAATAAGCTGAATGGAAGGTGCACAGATGCCAGGCATTTTTCCACGACATGTCCCCCCTTTTATTGGTGTGTTGCGCTTACCTCCACAGGCAACAGGAGCGCATCAACTCGCAGCGGGAAGATATCGAGCGGCAACGTAAACTGCTGGCCAAGCGCAAGCCGCCCTCCATGGCCCAGACGCCGCCGCCCAACCTGGAACAGAACAAACGCAAAAGCAAAGCCAACGGCACGGAGAGCGAAACGTATGCAAATGCAGCTTGGTTTGCTTTTAAATGGACGATCTTCCTTCTTTTTAACTTTTTTTCCTGACTTGTTTTCTCGTTGCAGGTTATCGCAGGCCGAGTACCACGAGCAAGAGGAAATCTTCAAGTTAAGATTGGGCCATCTTAAGAAGGTAATGCTTCGCTCGCGTGACATCCGAGGGTAACGAAGCTGTCACGGGCAAGGACGCGTCTTCGTCATCTTTTGCAGGAGGAGGCCGAGATCCAGGCGGAGCTGGAGAGGTTGGAGCGAGTCCGCAACTTGCACATTCGCGAGCTCAAAAGAATCCACAACGAGGATAACTCCCAGTAGGATTTCCTCCCTCTGACGCCCACCCTCAAAGGCCTTGCGTGTTGCTTGGATACTCACCTTGCTCTCCTGCTTGCAGATTCAAAGACCACCCGACGCTAAACGACCGATACCTGCTTCTCCATTTACTCGGACGCGGGGGGTTCAGCGAAGTCTACAAAGTGAGAGAGAGAGAGATTCATTAGAAGATTGCAAAAGCACAAATACCGTAAACAGTTAATTCTTCAACGAACGAATTGAACTGAATTCAACGGTGGTCTCGTACTGACCGCTGATATCTCATGCAAACTCTGAGGCTAAAGTATTCTGCAGATTTTTTTTTTTTCTGACCTTCAAGGTTCCACTCTAAGAACTCTTAGCAAAATCCCTTGTTGATTTGAAGTATAAATGAGGACCTCTCTCAACTTAAACGTCTCCTCCCTAAACTTTCTCTTTCAGGCCTTTGATTTAACAGAGCAAAGGTACGTGGCGGTCAAAATCCACCAGCTCAACAAAAACTGGAGGGATGAGAAAAAGGAAAACTACCACAAGTGAGTGACACGCCACCACCAACAAACGGGCCTTCCCCACGTGTCGCGTAACCCGCGTTTGTGTTTGTTTGTTTCAGACACGCATGCAGAGAATACAGAATCCACAAAGAGCTGGACCACCCGCGAATAGTGAAACTCTACGACTACTTCTCGCTCGACACAGACTCGTAAAGTCACTCGTATTGTCTCGGAAGATGCAATTGTTCCTTTTGAGCAACTTTCTCTTCATCCGGCCCCTGCTTTTTTTGGGGTTTTTTTTGCTGGCAGGTTTTGCACAGTCCTGGAGTACTGCGAGGGCAACGACCTAGACTTCTACTTGAAACAGCACAAGCTGATGTCCGAGAAGGAAGGTCGCTCCATCATCATGCAGATTGTCAACGCCCTCAAGTACCTCAACGAGATCCGGCCGCCCATCATCCACTACGACCTTAAACCAGGTGAGGGTTACTTGCGCCTCTTAACTCACATTCCCATCAATACCGTCAGCGCAGGAGTATTGATGAAGCTCGTCTTTTTTAGGATTAGAGTTAGGGCTATGTTATGTCCATCCTGGTTAGTTTGGAAAAGTCTTGCAAACACTGCCTGGAGCCTTTTTTTTTTTTTTTAAAAAAGAACTTTATTTTTGCCAACATAAAAGATGATATGCAAAGAGCCGTTTACCCCTTGAAATTCTGTTAAGCACCATTTGTTCCCACAAAAGCACTATAAGCAAAGTTGTTGTTGTTGTTATTATTATTATTATTGTTGGTGTTAAAATGTCAAATGATTCAGGTAACATCCTGCTTGTGAACGGCACGGCGTGCGGCGAGATCAAGATCACAGACTTCGGCCTATCCAAGATCATGGATGACGACAGTTACAACTCTGTAGACGGCATGGAGCTCACGTCGCAGGGGGCCGGCACGTACTGGTGAGACGAAAGCTTCCGGACATGGACGTGGGCTTTTATTTATTTTGTTTTTAAAATTCCGTTCTCATGCCATCTTCAACCTTCAGGTACCTGCCCCCTGAGTGTTTCGTAGTCGGAAAGGAGCCCCCCAAAATCTCCAACAAGGTGGATGTGTGGTCCGTAGGGGTCATTTTCTACCAGTGCTTGTATGGCCGTAAGGTAAGGAACACAGTTTACACACGTTTTGAAATTGTCATGATGACATCGCGAATCTGTTGCATGCAGGGCTGAACAATTGGCCAATTTGAAATCGACATTGTAATGCCATTTTCAAATCGCAAAGGCTGCAATTTGGCTGGAGTATAGTGGGGGGGACTGCTTAATTTCGGTTGCTTGGTTGGCTTTATTTATTTATTCAGTTATGGTGTCTTGATCAGTTCAGCGATTAATAAGTGAATTTTCCGTTACTTTCCCGTAAAGCCTTTTGGCCACAACCAGTCTCAGCAGGACATCCTGCAGGAGAACACCATTCTGAAGGCCACCGACGTGCAGTTCCCACCCAAACCAGTCGTCACACCAGAAGCTAAGGTAAGGAACATTTCCTCTTCTGTCTTTTTTTTTTTTTTTTTGCGTTTGTTTTTATCTTCACGTTTTGGCCTCGGCGCTCCCGCAGGCGTTCATCCGACGCTGTTTAGTGTACCGGAAGGAGGACCGCATTGACGTGCACCAGCTGTCCAACGACCCCTTCCTCATGCCGCACATCCGCAAGTCAGTGGCCTCTTCGGGCAACTCGGCCATGGCGGTGGCCTCCACGTCCAGCTCCTCAAACAGCAGCGCCTCCAACTGAGACCCCGCCCGCACATCCGACACCCTCCTACTCATAGCATCCATCTTGAGGAGAAGAGGTATCCTCTCCTTTCCACTGCTGGTGGTTGGTGTCAAAGCCCAGGAGTGAAGGTGGCCTGCGGCATTTGGGGTTTTCTGCTTTAAAAAAAAAAACAAAATAAAAAAAGTCCAGAAATGCTTCAGCTAGGCCATAAGGACGAGACTGTATTGTCCCCCTCCCTTGCTCGCAAATCCATGCTTGAAGCCCCTCTGGTGGACATTTTTTGCGTTACAAGTACCCCACCCCCGCTCCCCGCGCGCCCCACCCCAACCCAAACAGCATAGAATTCCCAGAGTTTGTGCGCACATGCACGGGCTCTGATAGGAGGCCATCACACAAAAGGCCCTTCACCGCCATCACCCCGTCAGCCCTGTGACCAAAGCTTTTAACCAGATGGTGGCGCCGTTCCTCCTCAGTTCTCAAATGCTTGACATGGAGTGAAAGAGCTGAGGAACGCCCCCTCCCCCCGCACCCCCCAAAAAAAGAAAACTACCCCCACCACCTCTATGCCACCCCCATTTTCTTCTCTTTACATTTTTTCGGGAAGAGCAAAACCATTTTTATGGAGAAAACCTCTTTTTTTTTTTTTTTTAACCCCCACCCTCCCTTTTTTTTTTTCTCTTTCAAGTTGCCTTTAATTAGAACTCTTGTTTTCGTTGACCCCCGCAGGCCTTCTACCCCTTCTCTCCTCCCCTGACTTCCTACAACAAACACACATATTTATTTAGGTATGTTTGAATTCAATTTTCAGCCATTTAAAAATGCAAAGGACTGATTGACCTTCAAGTACTTTTTCGGGGGGGAAGAGTTTGGGCCTTAGCAGGACGTTGCATCAACCATTAAAAAAAAAACAACTATTGTTTCAAACATGTGCTGTTGACTTTATTAGTTTCTTAGTCTGACTCCAAAAACCGAATAGTATTTACCATTATACTCTATAAAGAAAAGATTCAATTAAATACAGTATGTCAAGATTCTTCAAGAAATTGGAGTAGGTTAGCATCGAAGTGGCATGTCACCTTTCCAAGAGGACCACCAAGAGCTGTGACGGCGGAGGGGTGTGGGGGAGGGGGTTTGTAGGTAGGTACTGTATTTTGCACACCTCTGTTTTGACCTATCTTGATGTTGCCTTCAAGGACAGCCTGAAATCAGAGCGCCCCTCACAATACAAAGATATTGTTTCAAATGTTCTTAAATTGATTTTTTTTAATGTGCTCCACATGTCATATATTTCAAAAGTAGTCATAGTCGAACAAGAGTAGTTATATATTTTTTGGGGTGTGGGGAGGGCTCAAAATAGTCAGATGGTGAGTTTAAGAATGAAGTCCCTTTTTTAAGAAAGTTGTACAGGAATTTTGTATTTTGGGTGAAAACAGTAGAAAATAAAGTTATATTTATTCAAGAAAAATGCGTAATAGTACAAATGCGGATAGAGCACAGTGATTTTTTTTTGATACATGAGACAGTTTTTTTTCTTAAGTCCAAAAAATTGATACAAGCAGTGTATGTAACAGTCAAAACAACTAAACAAGCAGCACTTTGTCAGAACCGCTATATTCAAAACAACTGTATTAAGTCGGCTAGCTTGATGGCAACAATGGGAAACGTGCTATGAATAATATCTATGCAGCAGCACATACAGTATAGGCTGATATTTAAATACAGGAATTTATTCTTTATCCTCCATGAAAAATAACTTGTCGTTTGCTTTATCATGTAATGTAGTGAAAATCTTCACCTTTATGACTGTATTATACTGCCCCCCGGAAGCAGTATAATCACATCTACAGAGTAATACGTTCACGTCAACGATGAGACCAGTCTCCATCTTGGACGAGGCAAGTACGTCAAATTATTCGAAACACCTCTCATGCTGATGTACGATGTGACAATCCTGCTGAATATAACAATCTTATTCCAAAAATGAGTATTCATATTTTCACAAAGTACAGTAGTTCAATAATTGGGTGTCAGCAAATAGTGCGTGCAGGTCAGTGTACCTAATGAATTGTCCGGCGAGCTGCGGCTTCTCTGAGTGGCCACTGGGGGTCCCCAGGCTTTATTTTGGGAAAAGCGCACACAGACAAACACGCACACACACACACGCAGTGTTGACGCAGCTCCATTCATCTGCTCGAGAAAGGGCAGCAGACGGTTCAAACTTATTTGAGTGTAACATTTGTGTCACTTTTCCACTCTTTTGTGTGCGTTTGCCCGTTCGCATTCTCACACCATTTCTTTGTGCGTGCGTGCGTGAGCGTGCGTGCGCGTGCGTGAGGGCTACAGCTGAGAGCATGCACGGCGACGACGAGCGGCACCGAGATTCAACAACGACGGCAACAAAATGGACCGGTCGGCACCGATTACTCCAGCGATGCACTTTGTCTTCACTGCTGCTGCTGCTTTTGCTCGGCGTGGACGTGACGTGGAGCGCCACGGGTGAGCGTTTTACTTCTTATTTTTGCTCCACGTGTCATTCGATCGTGAATAAGTGCACGTTGAAGGTATCTTATTGTGTGAAAATGTGTTTTTTTGAGGTGTATTTCATTGTGGATTTGCTGCTTTTGATTTGCCACGAACCAAAAAGCCCGAGAGTGAGTGGAACCAGATGTGCACGAAAGAAGGAGAGGAGGGGGGGGGGGGGGAGAGAGAAAAGAAAGGAGGAGGAGGTGCGCGTGTGCGTGTGTTGTTGGAGAGTTTAGCTCCATGGTGGGCAAAGTACGGCCATTCTTTAATCCGACGTGCATTTCATACAGTGCTGAAGTTTTCATACCCTGGCAAAATTTGTGAAATGCTGACAATTTTGCGGATAAAGCATGACTATTGACGGAGCCCTCTTTTGTTTTCATTGCTATATTCCATTTAATGATTGTGTTACAGGCAATAGGGACCGCGAATAGAGATAATCCGTGCGTAATTAACGCCCATTATAAAACTGTATACTGAAATGTCTTATAGTTTCATCTGGATTCCACTCAAAATAAAATGGCCTACATTACACAAATTCCGTTATCTTATTAAACTACTCCGGGATTGTACATTAAATCTGTAACATTGATGGTATTAATTTACCCCCTTGCCCACAAACTTGGTTATTTAAAATGTATTTTATTTAATGATTCTATGTATTTAGTATTCATTCTGCTCACTAATGGTTCGCTTTAAATAAATCAAAACGAATACATTTCAATATGGCTTCTTCTGGTGTGACAACTTGGCCACCGGGTGGCAGTAGAGTACAGTACAGTGCTGCAGACACAAACAAAGAAGAATAAATTCACAGCGACTCTTTGTTAGTTTAATGTTTAATTTGACAGTCAGCATCAACTGGGAGTTGTCATAAACAGCTTGAAGCTTCCTGTTGGAAGAATATTTACTAATTTTGTCTAGCAAATTGCCATCTTCTACTGACCTGAGAAAAAAAATGTGTCGTTTCTATGATTGTGTGCTCTATTGGTTTTTCTAGCTTGATTTGTGTGTGACAGGGTGGAGGGACTTTTCATTTCCCTAACCCTCACTCCCCCTCCCACACACCCCGGCAGGCAGCCGTGACCTGCACTTCCGGTTACGTTAACAGGCCGCTCATGTGTGATTGACGGCTTTATTGGTGCACGAAATCAATGATTTCATTAACACGTTATACACCCCAAATTCCCAAATTGTCCTTATGTGTCAATGTGATCTCGACTCGATTCAACTGGATTTATAGAGCACTTAAAAACAACCACCGCTCTATACAAAATCCTGTACATGGAGCAAAATTAATTCAGGCAACAACAAACACAAAATTAATAACAAAGTCTCTACTTACAACATTTTCTAGTTAAGAAATTTCTTCCAGGACCAATTAATTTCGTAAGTACAGGTACCACGGTACAATCAAACTAAAAATCAAATCTCATGCTGAGTCATAAGCCAAAGAATAAAAATGAGATGAGTTTTAAAGATGGCTAGCCAGGGGGCTTGCCGAACGTTCAGCAGGAGGTCATTCCAAAGAGAGGGACTAAACTTTTGACAATGGGGAAACAAAATGTGCGGCGTCATAAAGAGAAGCGACGTGTTTTTGTGGCTTTGGCTCAGAATGCTAATTGTCACTGAGAGCTAAAACCACAGCGGCCAGGCGCCGCACTCAATCGCATGCTTAGCTTCACAATAGGGCTCGTGTCCTTTTCGGGCTCCTCCGGGAACGTTTTCGGGCCGCTGCACAACCACGTTAGACTTGGGGGGGGGGGGGGAGACGATGTGAGGCTGACGTTGGAAGCCGTGGGGGGCGCCGTCATCCCCACCCTGGAAGTAGGGAGGACCGAATCCAGACAACTTTTGAGCCAAACATTCGCCCCCGTCACCATTCCTTTACTTTCCCGGAAGCCTTTGGAGAAGTTTTGAATTTTTTGATGTCAACAGTTTAGATGTTGCGAGATGAACGGGATGTGCGGCGTGACTCATCACAGCTGCTTTCTGTAATTCTCCAATAACTAACTCAGCTTATTTTTTTTCCAGCTGCACACCATTCCGTAAAATATGACAACACGGCTTTGCTGTGCACTGAAAACGCAATAAAAGCTGAACAAAAGACAAAAAGAATACTTTGCATGTGGTCAGTGTTATACTTCGGAGAAAGAGCCAGATTGAAATGATCAACTTGTGAATCTATACAACGGTTTTTTTGTAGAGAAGTCGGCTCTTCATTATTGATTGAAAAATGTCGTTATTATTATCATTATTGTTATTATCATTATTGGTGGTGTTGTTATTATTGCAATTTCTCATAAAAAAACATCACAAACAGCAATTGGACTTTTTAAAATAGTTTTTTTCTTTTTTAAATAAGACTTTGGGTAGTTCTCTTTTTTGTTGCTCTGTATTTCATCATCCCTTCGATTTTTTTTTTTTCCCTGCTCTCACCCCCGCAAGCTCGAATCTCTCCAGTTTGTCGGCCAGCTCTCGGCGAAGTCGTCCCAAACTTCTGCCACGAAAGAATTTGAAAAGCGTACATGCAGTGCATTCGGGAGCATTAAAATGTTTTGCAATTATGTATTCTTTTCTTTCTCGTAATCTTGCCACGTTGCTGTCTCTTGAGGTTTTTACTCCCAATTGCTTTGTCAGCTGCGACACCTTTTGACAAGCGCTTGCTGGTCCCATTCATGTCTGGTTCATTGAACGCAACACAGGTACGCTTCAAGCAAACCTTGGAAAATATTTGCGCTAAATGTGCTGATTCGCTGTTTGTGTTCAAATATTTGTTTCTTAAAGCATTCTAACACCATTATGCAGATGCGGGTATGGTAAGGTTAGATTCATGAGGACATCTATGGAGTTTCACGTTTATGTCTTTGCCTGTACAGCGAGTGGACGTCCCGGCAAAGTTGAGGGGGTTGTTTGAAATACACAACGCATAATTCTCTTTGTTTGATGTTAATTTGACGAGTAAACTACATCTGGTAGTGTCAATAAAGAGCTTGAGGCCCCTTTTTTGAAGAACGCTTGTTGTGAAGTGAGTCGAGTTCATTGCCACCATTCAGTGCTCTGATCTCGAAATTTTGCTCGCAAGTCAGAGGGGAAAAAAAAAATCTCGTTGTTTTTTTCAGCAAAGTAGAAGTCATGTGAGAGTGATTATTTTTTAAGAAAAAAATGGTAATCTTGTCAGAGAAAATTTGTATTCCCCCCCTCCCCAAATAGTAGACAATATGAAAATAAAATCAGATTTCTTTTCCCCGAAATACATACGCAGTTTGTTGCGAGACTTGCCACATGAATGATGTGAAATTGCCAAGCATGTGAATTTTCAGCCCACTTAACGCACAGATGAACACATCTGCCCCAAAAACGGCCAAACCAGAAAGAAGCCAAGTCGGAACCTAATGGCGGGTATCCCGTTTAGACCACTTCCTGAAATCATTTACCATGCGAGACCAAAGTCAAATGAACTAGAAAAGATGAAAGGAAAGTGGGCCAGTGACAACATATGTGTTGCTCGTTTCCCACAGAGATTCCAGGCTGCCTTTACGGTGCAACTTTATTATCTCAAGAGGAGGCTAATTGGGGGGGCTTCAGAGGGGCTTCAGAAGCGAATGTGTTGCAAGAAAGTAACCGTCTAAGCGGTGATGGTTCCTTGCTTCCTCACTTCCTGGCCTCTCGCAGGAGCCTGCTGGGTCGGAATGCTGAGGGTCACACTTTGGTCATCTTTTTTAGCTCCAGCTCCTTCGTACTGCATATTTTGGAATATGTGGATGATATTTTAGCATTTTAAGCTTTTTTTTTTTCTTCTTCTTCCTCTGTCTTGTCTGTGCTGCCCACACAAACACGCAGTCGTGTAGTCACGGTGGCCTCGGCTATGCCAAAACCAAAATTGTAAAGAGAAAAAAAAAATGAGAGAAAAAAACCTTTAAAAAAAGTACATGAGGGTTTAAATTTTTTTTATTTTTTTTTAGAGCCAGCACAAAACAAAGGTCATTCAGTTCTATAGGTGCATTCTGGCTGACGGCCTGTAGGGGGCGACATTAGGATGTGTATACTATACAGTATATGGGAACGTGTGTGTGTGTGTGTGTGTGTGTGTGTGTGTGTGTGTGTGTGTGTGTGTGTGTGTGTGTGTGTGTGTGTGTTATTTGTACTTTGTTACTTCCTACCACTGTGTGTCAGCGTTTAATTTATTCTATCTTTCAGTGGATGCTAGTTTCCACTTGATTGTCCCGTGTCCATTATCGGATGAATTGATCCTTCTGGCAGCCCACATGGAATGTTCTCATCCACCCTATTGACTCGTCGCTTCCCTCCACAGCGCCGCTGGACGCCAATGACTTTGCCTTCTTCCACGAGGGCACCCGAGGGTGCCTGGGGGTGCGGGAGAGCTCCCTGGTGCTGTCCACGTCCTGCCGGGAGGCCGGCCAGCGTTGGAAGTGGGTGACCCGCGGTCGCCTCTTCAACCTGGGCTCCTCGCTGTGCCTGGGCGTGACCGCCGGCAACGAAACCGCCTCCGCCAGCTCCGGGCCGGGACGCACCCCTCTGAGCGTGTACACGTGCGACCGCCAGCCCTCTAAGGTGCGCTGGACGTGGAGCTGCGGTCAAGTGCTGGAGGACCTCAGAAACTACCTGCCCTGGCCCTCATTCTCCAACGCGTCCGCGCCCTCCACGCCCTCCACATCCAGTTCCAAATGGAGCGTGCATGGCGAAAAACAAGACCTGTGCGCCAAAACGTATCGTGGTACGTATGCTACAAACTCCAAGGCGCAACAGGAAACCGTTTTCTTCTAGCTGGCTCACATTTTGAAACACATTTTTGCCGATGAAATAATCTCTTCCAGGGTTATTTTCATTTCGGATGGGTTTTTTTTTTTTTTCCGGATCGATTCTGATGCCTTTATTCACTCTGAGTGTTCACTGATACCAAGTTCCGATACCGCCGATACTTTTGATATATTACATTTCATTTAACAAAGTGACAAAAAAGTTAGCATTCATTCTTAGCATTTTCAATGTGCCGCAATAACGCCAACTGCTGCCTCAAACTCCGATTTTTTTTTTTTTTTTTTTTTATTGCCTTAAGTCTCGGTGCCTGGTATCGGTAGCCCCGATACCTTAAAATAAGGCCGGTACCGGGATGACGCCTGGTATTGGTACTCGCCCATGAAATTGTCTGAGGTCTTGGAATTTCAGCTTCTCAACAGTAAACAGTTTGTAATTTTTTTTCCCTCAAAAAAATAAGATATTTACAAGCGTCTACATTTACGTCAATGATCACCATTTTTTTTCCAATTCTCTGTCAGATGTTGCGTGGCCAAACCACAAATCTTTCTGTTCTGCTTTCGTCCGTGTTTTCGTCTACACTTTGACGTGTCAGACTTGAGCAAGGTCACATGTTAGTCAGACGAGGGAGAATGCGAGTCAGTGTCGGAGCCCAGGGGAAGCCTTTGCTCTCTCTCTCTCGCTCGCTCTCGCTTAAATGTGTCTGCCCTACTTTTCGGTCTTTCAAGTGCGTCTCCCCCCCTCCTCTCTCCCCCTCCTGCCCTTTTTCTCACACTGCGCAGAAAAATGTGGGTACACGGTAAAAGTCTGTCGAAATGTTTTACTGTATCCATTACTGTCATGGCAACAGGGTAGCGAGCTGTTCAAATGTGACTTATTTCATTCATAAAAATGTAACCCTCTAAATTATTGTTATCTTTTTTTTTTTTTTAAATCGTCCCACTCGTGCTAGCAGTTTGAAACAGGCCTCCCCCTTGACTGTGTGCTCCTCAGACATCTACACGATCCAAGGCAACTCGAACGGGCGCCCATGCTACCTGCCTTTCCTTTACGACGGCCAGTGGTTTCATAACTGCACCAGCATCGGGCGCGAGGACGGCCACCTGTGGTGCGCCACCACCTACGACTACGCCCAAGACGAGCGCTGGGGCTTCTGTCCCGTCAACAGTGAGTTGAACACGGAGAAAAACCCCTTTCATCATCACCATTGCCGAGCCCAGCCAATAGGAGAGAGGAGAAGTGGCAGCAAAACAGGCCAAATTCCGGATTGATGATCATGAAATTCGTTTTATATGAAAAGTCATATATATTATATAATAGATTTTGGCTTTTACACTGATCTAAAAATGGCCTGGTCCATCTGTGAATTTTAAGATTCATAACTGGCCCCCGGAGCATCGACTTTTGCCCGCCCCTGTCCTATTACCGTCTTTGCTTCCATTTGTATCCTTCTTTCACTTAACTGGCATGTATCGACCCGGTTAGGTGGCGGCTGTGAGACCTTCTGGGACACGGACCCACTCACGGACAGTTGCTACCAGTTCAACTTCCAGGCCTCGCTGTCGTGGAGGGAGGCCCGCGTCAGTTGCCAACAGCAAGGAGCCGACCTGCTCAGCGTCACCAAGCTGCACGAGCAGACCTACATCAACGGTTTGTTGACAACGTTTGACGCCCAAATGACATGAAGGAAATATCCAGTGGGGACAAACCGCCTGCCCCCGCCTGCTCCCGCCTGCCCCCGCCAACTCCCACTGAGACCGCTCAGATGATGCCGAGTCTCCAGTCCTCCACCCATTTATGACACATTTTATGACCGCCAGTGAAATTCCAGCAGCTCACAGTCTTCGTGCGTGTCATTTCATTTTACTGTAAATTTCTTCACGATTGAAATTTTATTTTATTTTGATTTTTCTGACAGGCTCACTGCAACATATGCCGTCCTTGGTCCTAAAGCTTTTGCTGCTGTTTAAAATATATATATATTTTTTAAAGGCCTGTTGACCGGCTACAGCGCCGCCTTGTGGATCGGCCTCAACGACCTGGACATCAACGGCGGCTGGCAGTGGGCCGACTCATCGCCACTTAATTACCTCAACTGGGAGCAAGGTTAGCTTGTCGACCAACATAGACCTTTTCAACATACTGCTAATACAGGTACCACAGTACTTCTGAGTGGCGTAACAAAAGTGACCTGAACTGAAAATGAGAAAAATTTGAGTTTGGAGACAGTCCTCAAAAACGTTTTTTTTCTTTTTCAGTGGCCTCACAAAAAAAGCTAAATTACTACAGAGTAACCTATGGATGGTAAAGATAAATCAAGTGAATGTGGATAATAATTGAAGATTGCACGACTGCCTTGCCACCCTCCTTTAAGTGCGGTCCTCTCTTTCTGCAGAGCAACCCAATCACGAAGACGAGGATAACTGCGTCGTGATCAGGACCGAGTCGTCGGGTCGTTGGCAAAACCGCGCTTGTTCCGACGCTCTTCCTTACGTCTGCAAGAAAAGGCCCAACGCCACTCTGGATCCTTTTACTACCGGTCAGACCACGAGAAAGGTTCACGATAACCAGCTCCCCGGAACCCGAATGGCATCACGTCTCCGCTGTCCCAGCAGACTCGTGGGCGGACGATGAGAAGTACGAGTGTGAAGTGGGCTGGCAGGCCTTCCAGGCGGGCTGCTACAAGCTGGTGCCGGAAAAAGGCGACTGGGACGCGGGGCTGAAGACGTGCCAGAAGATGGACGCCAACCTGGTCAGCATTCACACGCTGCCTGAGATGGAGTTCATCCTGCGCAACATCAAGAAAGGTCAGTCACTTTTGCTTGACTCTTCAAAAACATATTTCGCCACAGAAATTTCCCCAGAAAAGTCCAGATTGCCCAACTTCTTCTTTTGTTCAAACCGTACCAGAGTTCAAGGGAAAGTGACGCTTCAGAACAGCGGTGAAAGATTTTTACATTTTTAATTGATCTCAGTCCGCGAAATCATTTTGCTCAAGTCTATCCATTACTGTTATTGTTTAAAGGTCACTTGGGATCGTTGGTCATTCCGCTCTCTTGTTGCCACGGCAACCACACATCCCTTGTTTCCTTTCTCTTGAATGCGAAACATAGCCGTCCGTCCAAACTCTCTGCGTTTCATGAACATTCCTGCCAAGCACCGCATCGCCGGCCCTGTATCTATGTGTGTATGTGTGTCCCTAAAAGATGATGTGTGTGTGTGTGTGTGTGTGTGTGTGTGTGTGTGTGTGTGTGTGTGTGTGTGTGTGTGCGTCTTCAGACACGGAGCAGCTGTGGCTCGGCCTCCACGACATCGCCATGCAGATGGACTTCCACTGGAGCGACCACACGCCCGTCACCTTCACCTACTGGCACCCCTTCGAGCCCAACAACTTTCGCAACACTCAGGAAGACTGCGTGTCCATGTGGGGAGCCGTGAGTGACCCTCCGACTGAACCGCAGCCACTAGCATCACTCCCGGCTTCTTCCAGTCCTCACGTGGGTGTGTGTTTGTGTACACTCAGCAGCTATGTGTGTGTGTGTGTGTGTGTGTGTGTGTTTGTGTGTGTGTCTTCCATACGTAGGAGGGCCGCTGGGATGACAGCCCATGTAACCTGACTCTGCCCGCCATCTGCAAAAAGGCCGCGACCAAGAGCGAAGGCAAACCTCAACATCAAGACTGCAAACAGGTATGACACGCTTTTCAATTTCCTCTTTAAAAAAAAAAAAAAAATGACCGTATTTGGAATCTTGGACAAGTAGTATAGGCGCATCTTGATAAATTAGAATATGGTGGAAAACGTCATTTAATTTCAATTGTGAAAGTGACAGACAAGTGAAAACATTTTGTTGTATAATTTTGATGCTTCCAGCTAATGAAAGCGTAGCTTAGCTAATGCAAACCGCTAAATTCAACTTTTGGAGAAATTATATTATTACATACAATGCTTTACAAAAATGCATAAGAATTGGCCTTCCTATGTGTTTCAGAAATCAGCGTTTCATGTTTTGTGTTGAACTGATGAACATTTTCTACGATTTTCTAATTTGTTGAAATACATGTGCGAATTTTTTCCCATTCTGTATGGTCATTAAAAAATGGAAACATTTTTGTCCTATAAATTAATTTCTTTTTTATTAAATTTTTTTTGAAAGATTTAAAAATGAAAATTTGATTTTTAAATGAATGCCCGATAAAGTGGCTTCTTGCAGTGTGTGCGACTGGGCCACAAGGGGCAGTATAATACACACACAAAGAATAGATTCAAAAAGTAAGTGACACGATTAGCCGATACAGTATATTGTTTGTTGTTGTCTTTTCTGGGGGAAAAAAAAACATGCCTGTAATAGATGTCATCATGTTTGTCTACACGTGTTACTCCACCGTTTGTGTTCAACTATGCATCGCTTCAAGGCTGATAACGCCATGGCTATCGATGCTATTTGTTCGTCTTTTTAAGTCCTTGTGTGTTCAACTTCAACTGGGAGTGACAATGAAGCGCCACTTTTGGGGGAAAATGCCTTCTTGGTACAATGTTTTCAATGTATATACACACACTCGGTCTATAAATTCCAAATTGAGTCGTTTATTGCCGTCTGCAGCTACTGACAGTCTGCAGGCCTGTTGGGAGCCTGATTATTGTTATACGTCTTCCAGCTGTTCGTGCAGCTTTGACCCCCGCCCCCCAACCTACCCGTCTAACTTATACTTGTGAACCTTATACGCAGTCATTGAGGACCGCATGAATACAGCGTGTGTGTATCAAATCCCATGTGCGAGGAATTCACACAGACATCTGCCTTTGATTTCTCATCCCCCTAATCACGTCCGCATGCGGGGCCCCATACATAACGCTCCCGTCGGTGACTCGACGGGCCTGAAATCGTCCAACTCGGGGCGCATTTCTCGGAGACGTGTTACGGTGTGATTTGCAAGTTTGCGACATCCTCCTTCTACATCTCTTGAGCGATTCAAACATTTCAATTTCCAAGGATGCGGAGCGTTTGTTTGATGGCGGCGGGGGGGGCGTCACGGGTGGTCATGTGACAGGAGTTCACCTCGCGGCCTCGTTTGCCTCCAGCTGAGCTCAACATGTGAAACAACAAGCGAAAACGCCACGTGGTGGTTAAGCTAACAAAGCTGACTTCGATGTTTGTCGCTGGTCGGCTGAGCCCGCTGCAGAAACACGACACAAATAGAGTATAGAAGTGCTTCCAATTTGATAAATATCAAGTAAAAATGACTTGAAATTACTTTATAATCCCCCAGAAATTATTTTTTTAATTTTGTCATTTAATTCCCCACTCGGCTGGATTGGAGAATGCATTTAGTTGCCAGAAGGTGGCGCTGTGATTACATGAGCAGCGTTTCCTTGACAACACTTCCTGTTGTAAAAAGCATCACATGCAAATAGGAGATTTTTTTATTTTGGGCGTCTGAGGAGAAGTGAAAGAGTTGACGACTTTTCAAGACGCATCCCTCATGCGGAGTGAACGTGATCTGTGTCATCTGGAAGATGCGTTTGTAATTTGAAGCAAATTTGGAAAACTTTGTGTCCCCCAATCTCGTTATTCAACGGCCCCCAGGTAGCCAAGGAGCAGCCCAGTGTCCTTAGAACTGAAGCAAAAAGTGAAGCATACTTAAAAAAAAAAAAAAAAAAAAAAACCAAATTTATTAAGCCCACTTGAATCAACATTTTTTT